ATGAGTTTTACCACCAGTTATCTGTTCTTCTCCAGAAAGTGCGTTCGACAGATATTGTAGTACTAGCCGGAGACTTGAATGCTCAGGTCGGGCGTCTAGGCACAGAAGAGAGTCGTTTAGGTGGCCGATGGGGACTCGTTGGTCGCAGGTCAGATAACGGGGACCGTCTACTGCAACTTTGCACAGACCACAACCTGTTTCTGGCTAGCACTAACTTTCGGCACAGTCATCGCCGATGTGCCACCTGGCGTCCTCCCTCTGCATCTCAAGCCTGGACTCAGATTGATCACATCGCGATCAGCTACCGCTGGCGTGGTTGTGTACAAGACTGCCGCTCCTTTTGGAGTACCTATCTGGACTCTGACCATGCCTTGGTCTGCGCCAATCTTGCCTTACTTTTCAGTGGACAACGAAGTGACCGCCATCAACGGATTGATGTTAGCAAGCTGGTTGCAACTTCTGTTGCAAGTAAGTATCGAACCGAGCTAGCCTCTAGGCTAGCTACCACTCCACCGAAAAGTATAGATGAGCATTGGTTGCAATTGCATGACGCCATGAAAATGGCGGGAACAGTCAGTTGTGGGTTTGCGAAACGTCCCGCTTTAAGCACTGGGTTTCTTCTGGTTCCTTACAACTCATTGAAGCCCGTCGGTCTACTCCGGGTGACCGTGAGTTTGACCATAAACGAAGGATGTTACGTAAGGAAATTGGGCAAAGCTTGCGTAAGGACCGAGAAGCCTGGTGGTCGAAGCGTGCTAATGAGCTGGAAGCAGCAGCTGCATCTGGTAACTACCGGAAGCTCTTCCAGCTCATCCGAGCCACTGGCAGCAAGAAGTCTGGTGTGAGTGAAACAATCTGCGAGGATGATGGGATGCCAATCACTAACATCCATCGACGTCTTGGACGATGGGCAGAATTTTTCGAAGGGCAGTTCAACTGGCCTGCTGCTCCGGCAACATCGGTCAGACTGTCCTGCCCTCCATGGCCGGTGACGACTGATCCACCAAACGAGGAGGAAGTCCGCAAGGAACTCCAACTCTTGAAGCGTTACAAATCACCTGGCCCAGATGACTTACCTCCGGCTCTTTTTAAAGATGGTGGTGACTTTTTGACTAAGGAATTGACGACGTTGTTTACAAAGGTTTGGGAACTAGAGAGTGTACCAACGTCATGGAATGAGTCGATAGTTGTCCCTATCTTTAAAAAGGGTTCACGTCGTTCCTGTAACAACTATCGGGGGATAAGTCTACTTCCGATTGCGTCCAAGCTATTGGCTTCCGTCATACTTCGTAGGTTGTTCAAAACCCGAGAAAGATTGACTCGCGAGGAGCAGGCTGGGTTTCGTTCTGGTCGAGGATGTATTGATCATATCTTCACCCTCCGCCAAATGTTAGAACACCGCCATACTTATCAAAGGCCAACAATCGTAGTGTTTCTTGACATCAGGGCTGCCTTCGATTCGTTGGACAGGACTGTTCTCTGGGATTGTCTATTGAAGAAGGGTGTGCCTGAGAAGTTTATTAACATCCTAAAAGCCCTATATAAAAACACCTCAGGCAGAGTGAGGGCATACAACCACCTCTCTCCATTGTTCCATTCGAGCAGTGGGGTTAGGCAGGGTTGCCCAATCTCACCATTCCTCTTCAACTTTGCCATCGATGACATTCTGGAAACAGCTCTGATGAATGTAAGTAATGGTGGTGTGGATCTGTTGCCTGGAGAAAGACTTCTCGACCTTGAGTATGCGGACGATATTGTCTTACTGTGCGATAATGCCCAAGGCATGCAATCCGCACTTAATCAGTTGGCAATCAGTGTCCGTAGGTATGGTATGTGCTTTGCACCTTCGAAGTGCAAAGTACTTCTACAAGACTGGCAGGATTCCAATCCTGTACTCACCCTGGATGGTGAGCAGATAGACGTAGTCGAGAAGTTCGTGTATCTGGGTAGCTGCATAAGTGCTGGTGGGGGTGTGAGTGATGAGATCAATGCACGTATAGTGAAAGCCAGAGCGGCTTATGCCAATCTGGGCCACCTTTGGCGCCTTCGTGATGTTAGTCTGGCTGTAAAAGGTCGGATCTACAACGCGTCGGTGAGAGCAGTTTTGCTCTATGCTTGTGAAACCTGGCCTCTCCGAGTTGAGGACGTTAGACGACTCTCTGTGTTCGATCATCGCTGTCTCCGAAGGATTGCTGACATTCAGTGGCAACACCATGTCAGTAATGCAGAGGTTCGGCATCGTGTGTTCGGGCACAGAGATGATAATTCAATTGGTGTCACCATCTTGAAACACCGACTTCGGTGGCTTGGACATGTTCTCCGAATGTCGTCCCAGAGAATTCCACGTCGTGCATTATTTGCCGACTCTGGGACTGGTTGGAAGAAGCGGAGAGGTGGTCAGTGCATGACATGGTGTCGTGGCATGAAAGAAAGCTGCAAAGGACTGGCTTGTGTTGGTCCTTCACGACTCCCTGGTTGGGGTCTGAGAGATGGTGCTACACAGTGGCTAGAGACGTTATCAGATATGGCTCAGAATAGAAGCCAGTGGCGATCCTGCTGTAACCTTCTTTTACTTTCTTCATAAAAAGTGGTTGTGTCTCCCTTACCTGAAAGATTTCTTCCGATTGTACCTTCGCGTTCCCTGATTACTACCACATTACCTTACACCAATCTCTTCGTTATTGTTCTCTCTTTTTTTGTTGCGCTCCTTAGCTTTTTTTTCTATTTCTCTTCGAATTCTCATTGTTTTGTGTGGCGCATATATATTGGCGCTCTCTTGTACCAATATTCATGTGTTCAAATAAATAAATAAATAAATAAATAAATAAATAAATATATATATATATATATATATATATATATATATATATATATATATATATATATATATATATATATATATATAACATTGTTAAGTCTCCTCTATTTATCTCATGAATCAGTTCTTTTTGTTTTACTCGATATGAAAGTAAATTAGTGTGAAATTTATTTGTGGAATATTATTATTATTATTATTATTATTATTAATCACTATTGGAAGTAATACGAGTAAAATAATTGAACGTTGATCGATGGTATTTTTTACATTCAACGAGTGACGCGATTTATTCTATATGTTCTGAAATAATCTATGATGATTTTTTTTCCTTTATAATATGTTGACCATGAACATGGTATATTATCGATACTATACTTGTATGTTTATTTATTCTTTAGTGTGCTACTTTTAAAATTATCTATTACTTTTTATTCCATGAGTTAGTTCTTTCTTTTTGAGTTATTTTGTTCATGTTTGGTCATCTTTATTATCATTGATACTGTTACTACTACTATTCTGATATTTGTCTTCATAATTTCATCTTGTCATGGACATATAGTGTGACAGCTTGACTCGATGATGCACACGCATGCCAAGAATTTTGACAATGTTCAGGGGAAAATAATAAGTGTAGGCGCGTACCTATATCCTAGTGTTAATGCTCACGTTCGAAGCCGTACCCGGTGCCTCTGTTGTCTCAATCACCAACGATTTATTTACTTAGCTTCTAAGTTCAAATAGCTGTTAACGTGTTCACCCGGTATAGTGTTTATTTCGCAATACTTTGTATTACCTTATTGCTGTTATTCAATACTGAAATTTAATCACTCCTTATTGGCATGATTTTGTTACTCCTTATTTGTTCTGACTCATTCTTTATTTGCTCGCCATATTATCTCTATTTCGTCTGTTTTTAACTCATCAAATTTTCTCGAAATCACGTTCTCATCATATATCAACACAGGATCTCTGGTACAAATGTGTACCGGTACAATTTACCACATTTGACGCCAAGATACGAAGAATAAGTTACGTACTAAATAATGTACATAATACACTGACTTCATCAAGTTGTACTTTTGAAGATATTGTTATTCGTGTTTGCTTAATTACGGTTTGCGTTGTTGTTCTTATCGTTGTAACTCAAATAACTGATCGTTTTTTTTACCGTAGTAATTATAGCCTTTTTTATAAACATTCCTAGTTGTTTTTATTACTTCTCAGTTTTTCTACCAATAATTATGTTGTTGACCTCCCATTTATTTATTTTTCTTCAGTGCAAATCCCTTATCAAGTCTACATCATGGTCCAGATTCTCCAGCGAGCGCTTCACAATCGGATATATTACTCGGTGATATGGAGTCTAATTTTGAATTGATTCGAGTAAGTACTTCTGTTAGTAATTATGTGTTTATATTGAAATATAATACATTAGTCATAAGTAATGTAGAACCTGGCACACGTGTGAATGATCAGTTTAACTTCACATACCACATAAACACAGCGAGTAATTGAAGTAATAGCAACGTCAGTGGTAGAAGAGAATATCAGGCATGAAAAATATGATTCAAGGAGGAAGAATAAAAAGTACGAGATGATTTTAAGACTCAAAATCTTAGGGAATACAAAGAGTGAGTGCTTCTGTTTAAAATTCGCACAGATTCTGTTCCATATCATTCAACGTCTCAAACTATTGGTTACGACGACTGCACAGACGGCAACTTGCTAGTTTGCACCTACCATCACGGCTCAGTCAAACAGTTGCTGTCTTCACGGACAAATTTTATGTCTTGGCTTGATCGCTCCTAGCTTTCTTCCAACCTACCTCTACACCAAGATAACATCGTATATCTACGTAGATGATGGTTGGGAGTGTGATACATGTTCCGACCACCCCAGTTGATGATGGTTCACAGCATATTACCAACCTATTTTTTACCTAGTACACTTTGTCTAACCTCAGCATTGTTCAATTGGTGATTCCAATACACTCAGGTGATGAAGTATTGCGTAACACTTAACTGTAATTAACTTTTTTCATTTATTTTCTAATTACCATTTATATATTTCACCATTTCTCACTTTCACAAATGGTTCCATGCCACTTGAATTTATCTTCTATCTACATCTAAATTTTTTTCACAATTTCACTTTTGAATTAAAGGATCAAATGCGCCGAATGGAAGAACGTGTAGAAGGTCTAAAAATCAACAGAAATACTGAAAGTGAAACGCGCTTAGATCGTTTACGTGAAGAGAATGCTCGTTTAACTGCTCAAATCACTGTTTTAGAAGAACGTCTTAAAGAGGCTGATGCAAGGTCGAGCCGTGCATTAGAAGCTGAACGACAGCATATGCAATCAATTTTGGTTAGTCGATATTGGTTTCTTCTTTATCTCCTTAGTAAAACAGATACCTCAACATGATTATAAAATAGTATATTAGTAATATTTATTTTTTTCTCAAGAAATCACTCACACTAAATGGTAAAATGTTAACAATTCATCTTTTTAAAAGAAACTTTTATTCTATATTCAGTCAGTCATTTAAAACGTAGGACCAGGCACATATTTGCACCGGTCCAAGTTGCAACACCTCATTAGCACAAGATTAACATGAATAGTAGTGATATATAAAAGAAAGATTGTGTATAAGGATATAATACAGGAAGGGAGAATTAGTTCGTAGAAAGAAAGGTATAGAGTAATTTTTATCTCACGGTTTAAGGGAAGACAAATAGTGTACATACCCACGCAATTATGATCGATTCTGAGCCATGTCACCCAGAGTCTTCAACCGTTGATAACGATAGTCACGCGGACCCCAACCAAGTAGTCTGCATCTTCCAACATGGCTCAGACTAGAAGTTAGTGACTCCATAGACTGATGCCACGTTTTGGTTTGGCAGCCTCTAGCTTTCTTCCAACCGTGTCCAACACTAGTCAGTATTGCGCATCGTGGTAACCGGTATTCAGGCGTAAGTAACACGTGACCCAACCATCTCAATTGATGGAGATATACAACCTCATCAACTGATTTACCGTTATTCCCTAATACCCTGCGTCTAACCTCTCTATTACTTACCCGTTGAACTCAGCAGATTCTGGCAATATTTCTAAGACATCTGTGATCAAATACTAGTAATTTACGGGTATTCTCTACCCCTAATGACCATGTTTTACAGCCGTAAAGTAGAACAGAACGAACTGCTGCTCGGTATACTCGTCCTTCAATTGATAGACTGATATATCGCCTTCGCCATGGGTAACATAATTTGGCAAAAGCTAAACGACCTTTTCGAATTCGTGCAAAGACTTCGTCATGCATATCCCATGCTCACAAACAACCCATCAATCCGATGCTTTTTTCTACTTTAAATTATCCAATCAAACCTTGTATAATGATACCTACAAGTTACATAGTTAAACTTTTTATTCCTATATCTTTTTACCAAGAAGTTTAGTTGACAACATACATTCGTGCGTATAAGATCATTTTTCCTACTTTTGGGAATATTTCCACCAATAGTGTACTCCTCAGCATTAAGTGTTTATGTCATGCAATTGGTATGTATGTAGTTGTATATATGTATATGTATGTATGCATGTGTGTTTGTAGGAGCTTCTTAGTATGTGTATGCAACAGATGATGGATTCATGTGACATATTTACATAGTTCGCCTATTGTTATTCTATTTGTTTACTCATTGCATGGAAGACTTTTGGTTCTGGTTGCCAGTAGTAATTATCATTTTACACCCAAATTATTGGATAATGATGATCATAAAAGGAAAGGAATTTAGGCTGGTTATTTTCTCTCTCTGTAGAAACACCATAATTATTTGTAGGAGAAATTTCGTTTTATGATTAGGATATAGGCATATTGTTGAAGTAAAGTGATTGTTATTACTTATATATTTTGTCCAATTGTACATTGAGTACTCTAGTGATTATCACATATATACAACGTGAGCTATTTTTATCAAGATAGCTATCCGGTTACTTCCCTATCTAGCCTTTAGCTGTTATCCTCAAATCACTGTGATTATCAGTTACGTTTGATGGTCTACGTGGGGTTTCTCACAGGCCTTCACTTTGTTATGTGTGTCAATATTTATCAACATTGCAGTACACGACAACTCAGAATATTATTGTTGTCACGAACCGATCTGAGTTAAACAACCATTGAAAACCTGTATGTACTGGACAGCCGATATGTCTAAGTATAGGACTCAGCAGTGCTTGTCTGAGGTTTCGCGACTGGGACTCGAACTCATGGCTTGCCCCGTTCACGAACTTTCAATTTCTAAACCACTGAGCTGTGGTTCACTCATGCATAGTTCTAACTTCAGTCTATCCACGATATTACACAACCACCCTCTATTGTTTTCTCTGGGTACTTCCCTCATACGCGACACTATTGAACTCCACTTGTTACAGCTTCTCACTAGGACTCTGGAGCTTTTCTCTAGAAGATAGTCACTAGTAGTACGCATGTGATAATTATCGGTATGGAGTTTGTGATTTCAATAAAACTCTGTCTCCACAACCTCGTGCTGTCAGTTAGGATAGCTGAAGGAGTAGGTGACAACTATAGTTCACTTGGACGTTCACCATTCAACTTTTATGACATCTCTAAATATTTTTCTGACGAGAGATATTATTGGTTTCACACCTACCTCATTGACAAGAGACTTTTTGCTTCAGTCTTGTTTCGTTTGAATTGGGAGATTTTTGAGTTGCAGTGTTTTTATTCTTATATCAGTGGTGCGCATTATGACCAGTAGGATGTTAAAAGGAGTCCACTAAAAATCAGTACCTATAATAAGTGGCATATTTTTCCATTCTGTATACTTTAAATGAAGTGAGTGCTCATCTATGATTTCCTATCAGTTGATCGCTAATATTAACTGTTTGTCCATTTTTTCGGTATATTTTGTTTTATTGCCAAGTAGAGTTTATTTGATAGCATCGTTTTGTCTAGAATGACGGCTTCGCTGATCTTTAAAATTTTGGGTATAGGTTTTATGTACACTTTACTGTAATTAGAATCCAGATATGTTCTTCAAGACAATCAGTAATGTTGTGCATATTTATACTAACAGCTACTAACTATTTTGTTTGTGTTCACCTTGTGTTGAGGTTTTTGGAAGTATATCAGTTAGAGCATTGGTAGTGATTTTACTGGAATCTGGTTGCGATTTGAACAAACTTATGTCAGACACAATCCCTGTTATCTTTAATTTCTGTCAAGAAATCTCTACTTTTTCTGAAAAACAAATTTCTTGTGTACAACTCTTTACTTAAATCCAGGCGACACTTTGAAATAAGTATTTTGTATCCAACATTTGCGACCATCTTTCTGTTCAGTTTTTGGATGATTTTTGTATATTCGAGTGGTTATCTTCACTAAAGATTTCATTTCAATTGTTCGAAATTATTTGCATTTGTCTGCTATGAACACGTTAATGTGTAACGCAACTTCAGGTAAGGTAAGGTCCTAGATGAAAAATACAAATCGGTAAAAGTATGATATAGGAATGGGCTTAAACAGACCACGACGGATTTTCAGCCAGTTCTTTAGCTAATCAGAAAGCAACTTTTATAAATAAGATAGTTTCTGGAAAAGAAAGTCCTAATATTGCAAAGTTTAAATCGGTTTTACTTTCTAAATAACTCTATTAAAGTTCTCTACAGGTTACTCTGCCTACAGATTGAAGAAACGATGACATAAATCTGTCTTTATGGATATAAAGTGTCCATCTTCTCGAACCCTTATAAGTACCTAAATAGATTTGCAAGAGTCCCGATATTATTCCTAATGAGGATTAGGATAAGGAGTTAACAGTTGGGGTTTTCATCACTAACTGACAACAGCTATCATTCGAAAATGCTCTGTAGGCCATATGGATGAATGAATTTTGCTTAAAAATTCCTGAAGCGCTATTTTAGTTCGTTTATTAGATGAAGTGCCACCATGTTTAGGTTTGATTCAGTATTAAGGGTTTGGGGTTACTACTTAAAAATAGTGTCAATGTTTGCCTGCTGTAAACAATTTATATTAGAAAAAGTTCAACCTTCGGTACATTAAACACTATCAATTTTACTTTATGGTTGCAAAAACTAATTTACCGCTGTGACTTTTAACATTTTGAGCATTGTATAAAGACATTTCTACTGCCCATCATATATGATATTTGAATTTCTCACAAAAAGCTGACAGTTTTCTCGATCCTGATTAGCTTTTCCCTATATACCATACTTTTACCCTCACATCTAGTGGAAGTCGGAGGTCAAACTAAAATCTTTAATAAAAGTTATATTCTGATATACAGCACTCACTCACTAAATGAAAATAAATATGACTGAAAATGTTGGATACACCATGTACTTATTGAACGTTTGAAATGTTGCGGATAACATCATCCATGTTATGGTATCATTGCGGTTTCATTTGAAGATGTGGGTTTTTATGGTTTAATTTTCAAGCGTCAAATGCGGAACTACATTTTATCGAAGTTTTACTTAAAATCTATTTACATATCGGTTGGAACTTTTTTCAAGTGACTGTCAAACTCTTTTCCATAACATATTTCATGATTCATTGATATTTCCATACTTTTTTTTTCTTTTTTGTCCAAACACTTTTTTAGTCACGCTCTTCGCGAGAACATACTCAAGAATCAGAAACGTTACGTGCTCGGATTATTTCTTTAGAAAGTGAATGTTCCGAATTACGTGTTCAGTCAGCTCGTATCAAAGCGGACAACCAAACGTATATTATTGTAGGTTGATGGAATATCTTTATTAATTTAAGTTAATATTTATGTACTGTAAATATTATGATATTTCTTTGGTAGCGATTTTTAAATGACAAATTTGTTTGAGTACTAACTAATTATATCATAACGTACCCTGGATTATTATCATCACTACTTGTGTATGTGAGAGCTGGGACACTACTCGGACGTTTAAACTGAGGTAGATGGTTCTCGAAGAACTATTAACGCTACAATGTCAAGAGACTACCATCTTTACCAATTATATCCATACGTTATTCACTTGTAGAATTCTCTACTCATTGTATATCATTAGTTTAAACTCGGGTTTTCTAAAATCTTAGGTAAACGATCTACATTCGTACCAGATATCCTCTTTCGTAAAAACAAGCAATTCACTTCACTTGAATCTAATGGGTAGAATTTCATCAGAAGAGGTTGTAGACACGTGATTGTCTAAGAGTAGCGTAAAACTGATTTGTAAAAAGGGGTTGATAATTTCCAGTTGATTTTTCAATTCCTTTTCGATATCAATTGGAAATGGTAAATTTTATATACAAATCAGATTTGCTACTTTTTTATATTGAATATGATCTGAAAAAGTTTTGTATTTGATCCATCAGTCTATCTACAAAAATATATACTTGTTTCAATGCTGTCAGTCGGTTAGTGTATAGGTAATCTGCTATGTCCGCGTCTCGTATTCTTGTGTTTGAAAGAACGATTAACCACCGCAATTCCCACGACACGAAAGTAAGAACACAAAGACTGGTTCAAGTGAAGATTTATTAACCCCAAATCACGACGACGACCTTAGTCGAAAATACACTCATACGTTAGTTATACACTTATTTTAATTAATAATTAGAATAAAATCACATATATGAAAAATACCCAGAGTTACAACAAATAACATGCTGCATATCATGCTGAGCATAGTTCATTTTAATGTAATTCAAGTATATCATATCTCCAACAAACATCACACTCAAATAAACTAATGTTATATCAAATAAAATATCATATTGGAAACCAAAACAAACACTACACTGAATAATCATTACATCTCTGTGCTAATGTGATATGGCAACTCGAACTGATGTACGTACGTACGAAGTTCTACGTTGTTACTGACTGACTGACTGAATCATTACATTGAATTAGAGCGGAAGTAATGTTGAACAAAAATTATAATGAGCAAAAGAATGCAATTTTACCTTTTCGTTCCATCATAACCTTCTCTTCTTTTTTGATGGAATACGCGGGAATAAGTTTTCCCTGGAGAGTCCATTGGAGGGGTTGTTGTTCTTTATCCTACCCGCTAGGATCTTCCTTGCCGGTCGCGTAGTCGTTTCCTAGGTCTCAATGGGTTTTTCCAGCTTCATTTAAGAAATTGACTTAATCTATGCTCTGCTCTTTCGTTCAATACATATATGATTCTCCCTCCCCTGCGAAACAATGTTGGATCTTCATATAACCACGTTGCAAATAATGTGACCTGAACTGTTTTAACACTACTCATACCTTCTTTATATGAGAGTATTGGAGCGTATGATCTTGACCTGTTTGGATAATATTATACATGGTGATTTTTCCCTTTCCTTTCATTATTCCGTCCATAATATGAATAAGCACATTTTACACTTAAACTTGTCAGTAAAAATGCATGTGATTCATGTAGGCTCTCTTTGTTCTCAAAACATTTGAATGGGACATTTCTATGTGCTTCATGCTCATTATGATCAGTGGGTAGCTGCATTCTACATACAGTGATATTGCAATTGAACTGACTTTGATGTACTGAAACAAGGTTTACCTTTTTGTATGTGACATTCAATTTGTCCGAATAAACAAAATAAATATAATCAGATGCGTTAAGTATTTTTAGATAACTGTAAGAAATACTGAAATTTGTTAACTACTCATCATAAATTTTCCCAAAACACTGGGTGGTCTGTGCAAATTGATCGTATTTAAAATTTTTGGAGAAGTGAAATTGGCACACTTCTTATCTTTATTTGACCTCAGCTTCCTGAGGTAAGCGTGAACCTTTGACCCAGTGTCTGGTTCAGAGACTTTCATCTCAAACAAATCTTCATTTCTACCATTAGAAGCATTGAGCATTACCCCGAATGTCGAACTGTCAGACTTTGGGACTAAATTTAAATTTTCCGATTGTGTGAACGACATCACTCTTGGGCATTCTGGTTTCGAGACTGTTTCGTGAACACTTGTTGTCTCAATTGATTCATCATAGCATTAGGTAGGGATTCTACGTGATATATTTGAGGTGTGAGAGCACTCACCATCTGCTACAATAATATCTGGAATTTGATCAGAATGTGACTCTTTTAGAACATATTTCTCACATTGACTAGAAGTGAATGGATTGTGAGAATAAACATCATACCATCGGAAATATAGTTAGATTTGGACCCATTGTGAACTTATGCTTCATACTGACCAAAGTTTTCACTACAAACATTGTGAGAATAAGCAACATCTGATATGATATCACCAGAATTTGTAGACCTTTTCCTCAATCACAAAACTGTTCTTTATTGCTGCAGGAAATGTATCAGTTACTTCGTTTAACGTATCTATAATTTTTGATTGCGATTCCGGATTCGATTGTCTGAGCATATATTCCTTCAATGCATCGGTGAGCATTAAATGAGATCTAATTAACACATCTTCATTAAACTGTAGCATTGATTTTATTTCTGAAATTAACTTGTTCTTATACTAGTAACTGCGTCGTTTGCTGTAGTAGCGACTTGATAAAAGAAAGCAGAAGTATATTTATAACTGAACATAACAGGTTTAGGGGTAGGTTGAACTGACAACGGAGTTATAACTGGGACCACATAGTTATGTTGAAAAACTGAAACTGGCAAATTGGTCCCGTTGGCAGTTGTTATGGCTTTCTTTATTCCACAATCCCCATCACCATTTGTTATGCCAGTGTCGCTTATTCTTGTGCTCGGAAGAACGAGGAACTACTGCATAATCCTTTAAAAAAAGCATTGTAGACTAAATCTGAGTCTTTAAATCTTTACTAAATCTATATACTACAACATCTACGAAAAGACGAATAGTTTGTAAATAGAGTGAGTGACTTAGTGACTTGGATTGTGGCTGGCTGTAGGATCTTTGACACGTTTCGTCTTATTTAGAACTCTTCATACCCATTGAACTAGTTAATAGGTATCTGAACTTAGTAGCTTAATGAATAACATGTTAACATTCAAGTCTCTGTGTGAACAATAACAGTAGGATAATTTCATCCTACCAACAAGTCTCAACTAGAACAAAGGTCATATTCTAGACTTCACTGCTAGCCATGATACAAATAAACTAAAAACGTGTAACAGAAGACAATATCGAGACGATCAGTTCAGATTGGGCACAGATATTAGTAGAAGTCGGCTAACTGCAGCCAGAAACGAGCGAAGTTACAAATCTTTACAAATTAGTATAGTTAGCTGCTTACAAACACTTTTCAGTCAAACAAAAGACGTGTGAGAGAATAATTGTCTAAAGAAGTTCGTATATCTTTGTAGATAAAGTCCAAAGACAATGAGTGGTTACGATAACCTTAAATCCATTTGTTTTCTTTTAGGCAATCTGTTTTTGATTGTTGTACATGTGCGCTTATGTGCGTCTTTCTATTGTTCCTCAGGTTATTGTTTCTAACACATTTAAATATAAAGAACATGAATAATATCCAAACAAATTGTTTCAGTATGCAGGAGTTTGTGGAGATTGTTTTCATTTTACATCATGAATTAACTTTAGTGAGACAATTACTAGAAACCATAAAGTACCGGGAAGTTGTTTCGTCTTAGTATGGGATTCCCCACATTGCGTATTCACAATACCACCGTGGGTCGAATCCGGGAATTTTAGGTCTGTTGGAATGACTTTTGATAAGCACAAAGGAGCCGAAGAGTCCCCACTCAGTCAAAATCTGATGAAGCTTTCTAGAATATCAGCACAGCATACTGCGATCACTGAATTTGGATTCAATGATTTACATTCTTAAATTCAAGTTGTTTCTTTTAAAAGTATCTAATGTTCCCACTTAGGCAAGTCTTTTACTCCTCATGGAACATAGGCCACTGAACTAATGTTCACAGAGTCTAGTAAAATTAAGATGCCTTATGGTTTTATCTTTGCTGAAATATATATATATATATATATATATATATATATATATATATATATATATATATATAATTTATATCAAAAATCAATTTAAGTCAAATAAACATTGAAAACATGGAATTACTGGATGACCGTTTCGTCCAACCACAGGACTTCAGCAGTGCACATCCACGAATTCACAACCGAGGATCTAGGCCAGAACCTTCAGTCTCGCGTGCAAACGCTTTAACTCTAGATCACTGGGCCGGGATCCAATGGTGTACAGTTCTAAATTAAGTCAATCCACGATACCTATCTCACACCCGCTTTATTTGTCTTTGTATTCCTGTCGAAAGTTTATTTTTTCTGTTCACCTCTGACCGCATGGGTGGTTGACATTTACTGTATAGGTTCGTAAATAGGGTCTGTGTTGATATTTCTATTGATAACTAAAAATTTACCTGAATACCCATGCTTACAGAAAATCCTCTAGGATTCTTTGTATTTCGTCGTTTCATGATTTTGACGTTCTTCTCTTGATTGAATTTATGTCCGTGAATGCTAGCATACATTGATATAAGTGAACATTTCATGTCGTTTTTATTTCCGGTTTATATTCATATGGGAAAACACACACAATTTCGATGCATATCTGTTTATATTTTTACTTATAAGTTTTATAACTTTTTGTCTTATTTATTTCTACTCTAAAAATATCCATCTCGCCATGGTGTTTAGGATCTTCGAAGAACCAATGAACAACTAACTGAATCACAAGAACAAGCACGTAGTTTTCAAGAAGAATTAAAATCATTAACGACTAAACATACTAGAGAAATGGAAGTTCTTCGGAAAGATCGTGATCATGCGGTACATGTAAGTTGCTACTCACTTGGGTTTAATTAATACTTGATTGTTTTCGTTATGATTCCTGATAATAATTAAATAAATAAAGGATTATTTGAATGGTTTTTGTGAAGAATAATTTAATTTTTAGACTGTATTCGTCTGAACTTCGCCAGTCACAACTAATTACTTCAAGATGTTTCTCAAGTTTGAGTGAGAAGTCGTAACTGTGGCGGAGTTCAGATTTGTTAATAATAAGACGATTCTCACTTAGGAAATCGGGAGATTGTGGTACCATATCACAAATTGATTAGTAAAACATGACTAATCCACCGAATTCGGTGTTTTAAGATGGTGATACCAATTGAACTGTTAGTTTGTCAGAATGAACACTGTCAAACATCGGTATTGTCACCGGATATCAGCAATTCTTCTGAGAATTCGATGTTTGAGCACAGAGAATCATCAAATATCCGAGCTCGGGATGATTTTAAAGGATCGAACACAAGTGCTTTCACGGATACGTTATAAAACCGATGTTTACAGTCAAAGTAACATCATGATTTCCTCAAAGACTGCTCAGTTCAGCTTGAGGATTTATGGCTTTTACCATCCATTGACTGAATCTCATCTGCCGTTTCACCAGTAGCACTTACATGACTACTCGGATACATAAATGTCTCTGCAGGTACAAGGTTCTGTCAACTTTTGAGCATTAGTTTGCGTTTCAGCAGTTCAAAATGTTTGTCATATGTATGGATATAAATTAGTTAGTCCCTTTTTAAAGATTGAGAGGATGATCACTTCATTTTGAGATTATGGAGTTTTGAATATATGTTTTAGACACATACCTTGATATCAAAATTTTCCAAATACGTAGTCTTATCCGTCTGTTGTCCTATTTGCGTCAGTGTGCATACATTGGAAGAGGAAGGTTAAAATGGCACATGTTGATTCAACTTTATCGAGACCAACGAAGTCACTGTCAACAAAATCAGAGTGCACTAGCCAGCTGCTTTGTCCTAGTATAGTATTCCTCAACTGCTACACATCCATCCGGCCTGTGATCGACTAGTAAAACTTTCAAGGTGTTTAACCAGTACAGTCACAAGATTGTCGTCTACTATTTACAAATCCACAACTTTAATCAAATCTTGATATAACACAAAGTTCATTGTTAGGTACTCGTCGCACGAGTTCTAAAAGTCTTGAATTTGATACACACCTAAGTTTTAGGTGTGCCTCCTCTACTACAGTTATCCAATTGCTTTAACTTCCCAATCATACACCAAATTTAATCAATCAGGGATAAATGTATCATACACTAATTGTATTAAGAAAAAAAATGCAATAATCATGTACTAGAGAAAATATGTAGTATTATGTACTTATATAAAAAAAATTTTGTATTGTGATGTGAGTAATAAACAAACTAACCTTCACGGTTTATGTGCAACATAAAAAAACACATTAAGAATTGAAAACATGTAGTCTATGTATATTGAGTTGTAGTGAATAAAAAGAAAGTATGTATATTGTACAGATTGAATAGTGATAATAATCATAATTTTAATAGTGAGAGGAAAAAAATCATGTTCTGAATTTTCTAATTCATTTTTCTGTGGGAAGTTTTTTTTGTTGTTAAAGTACTAAAAATGAGTGTAAGTACATGAGAAAACAATGATCTACTTAACTTATGCCTACCAGTAATTGGTATCAAGTTAGTAGTATTAGTAGTAGTGGTGGTGCTATATAACAATCGATATTGTTTTTTCTTTTCTACAAGAATTACTAAATTTTTTAAAAAAACAACCCACTAAAAGCTACATTTATGTGATGAAATTGTAGTTAGTTATTGGACTACTCGATGTTGTGTTCTCAGAGTTAAGTGGTTGAGTTGTAGAGATTTCGATAATTGTTCTGGACAATACTAACAGTGTTTACTTCATATAAAGTTTAATTTATGAATATAGTGATAATGGAAGCTACAGAGTTAAGCTAATCTGGTTCAAAAATGCAATGTCACGAAAAAATCCACTTGTACTGGAAGTCTTCTCCATTATTTCGCAATAAATCATGTACTATTAAAACCCAACTCTACATATAATTCTTTCGTTCTGATAGTGGGGATTTCAACTAATTCACTTAATAATCTTGTCGTTTAATTTATTTCATTCAGAAGTTTTTTGTGGGGGTGAGATTAGATGAAGGTTGTTACTGGTTCCAGAAATCTACACATACGTGGATGTATTATGACTAGATTGTACTCAATTTGTAATTGGTCCCACTGAACCTCAGGTAAAAGAAAATGCGATAATATGCATAAAGATGTGGTTAAGTCGAAAAATACCTAAATATTATTCCTATTTGTGTATTAGTTTCTTTTTAAAATATATCTATGAATTATGTTCAGTCACCTTAATTTATAGCTTCTTTTTATAGGAGTATTTGGGATACACTGTTGAGAAGTATAACACTGTTACCTTTTTTATGGCTTTTGATATTTTCAGAAATACAAAATACTTCTAAACTCATCTACTTCACTTTTTCTTATAGTTGTGAATAAGTAGTAATAATATTGCATTGTGTATATTTGGTTTGTTTTTTCCAGTTAATCGCTGATAACGATGCTTTTCTTCTATTAGTTGATCGTATAAGATGCATTTAACACATCTTACATTTGTTTATAATTCTGAAACTGCTTTCACTTAGCTTTAGTTGTATCTCGTTGATTCTGTTTACAATTTTCGAAATTTTACTGAGATAACAAAATGACCTAAATTAGACGACCACTGAAAATCGTGGAGGACTGACTGGACAGCTGTTGAATGCTTGCTTAGAGGTCTAATGGTTAAATGGTCAGTGCGATACCTGAAGGTCCTAGGTTTGATCATTGGTAAAATTGTGGATGCACATGTTAAGATGAAATAGATGTTCAGTACTCCCTGGTGTTTACCGGTTGCCTAACTTAGGCTAGTTCGTGATCTTTTATTTATTATTCCCCAAGATCCCCCTATACAGATAATCTTCAAAATATACGTAATATTGAAAAGTTGCCGCTCTATTTCGCAAATTAATAAAAGCTTAAATCGTGCCATTTGACGACAGCCCGACAATTCTATGGGTTGATTATTTTTAGCGAAACGTGACGGCTGAGTCCAACCACTGGAGGGTGCTAATTATGCACTGCTGTATAGTCTTGTACTAGTACGAAACAAGCTGCTCAATTCTCTGACGTTTTCAATAATACCGCTGTAAAACAATTTAATAGGCAGGAGGACTGCATATATATTACGAGAAGTATTTACAGAATACATACACATTGTCTTTAATCGTCCATTTGCATCTTTCGGTGTGGCCTCCAAATTTTCTGCCAATCCCATGCTTTCGATGCACTGAGTGTCTTCACTCCATCTGACAACTGCCGCAACTTTGATGCCACATTCCCGTTGCACACTACTTACAAACAACCTTGTGATTGGCATCCACCACATCCCAATTGTGATCATTCTATTATGAATACAGGCTACAGATCAGAAATTACATTTACAAACAATAATTTATATATATGTGCTTCTGTTTATATTTAGGTATTAGAAGAGCTGAATGGTTCTATGGGTGGTAAACGAAGAAGTCGAGTCGGTTCAGGTTCAGGTACACTTACAGCAGCCGCAGCTAGCACTGGTTCAACTGAAGTGTTAGCACGTTATCAAGAGGTTCAAGAAATTGTTCGTCGACTAACTGCTGAAAATAAAATATTACGACAACAAGTGGAAGAAGCTCAAGAAGAATTACTTACACAATCACTTCAACAAGGTCAAAGCTTAATACGTTCATCAGAGAAAAGTTGGGCTTCTGAAATAGATAATTGTACTAAAGAAGAGGTATGGTTCTAATTAATTTTTTATTGGATTTGGATTTATACGTATATATAAACCTAGTTTACTCATATGTAAAAGTTCAATGTGGCTATAAATGGAATCGTGGAGTTTGAACGTCAACACTAGGATACAGGTACATTCGGTTGACGAGATCGAAATTAGACGAAACGCACTGTCTGAATTCTACTGCTAGTCACTATCCAACTGTGCCCCCAAAATGCTTGTGACTAGTCCGACCAGTATGTGTATATACTAAAAGAAACTGATCAGTTGCAGTCGTTAGCTCAGACAACTGAATTTTAACCAAACTTTTTCTGAAAGAAACTCATTTATCTATTACAATCTTGTGTACTCAGTTTTGAACAACATTTGTTTATATGATGGTTGGTAAAGTATGTGGTGTGCGTATCTGTGTGTATGGGAGTCGAAACTACAACCTGTGAGTTAAAAATCATATTTTTTTTAAAACCACTCATCTATTGTTTCACATAGCGTAATATAATATTACTCATTTCTAGAGAATACTTTACTCTTTGTTATTATCAATTTTGTAATCAATCAATTTATGCTTATTTACAGTCAATTAAGTTTAAAATAAATGAATAATATTTGTGACCGGATAAAGTCAAATACTATCTATGTATAATAACTCCTGTCATCACTTACTTCTATCAGATTATATCATATAGTGCGATCAACTTACAGATCAATCGACAGTAGATAGTATACTTAAGAAATTAAATTTGTTTTCAGCGCCATAAATTGTTAGACGGTTATTTTTGGTGTAGGAACTCGCAAGATATTTAAGGCTTGTTGCAATTATTTTGTGGTCAGGAGTAATCACTAGAAAACCCTGGACTTAGGTCACATGCTAGTTACCGCTCATCAGTAAGGAATACCTGTAATCTTGAGGAAACATATGGTCCCTGTAGGATTCGAGCCGGCGTCATCTAGTTTCACAGTCTGAGATGTCATCAGTATCGAGCTATTTGAGACGCGATTAACCTCTTATGGAACCGGGATATTTACAGTTGTAAGTGTTTCTGCTATCTCGTTATTTTCATAACTGAACTGAATAGTTGAAAAGATGACTCAATATTAATTGTCTTCGGATATTGGTTGTTACGAATCAATGTATATATATTAGTATAGTGCAATAATACACTTCATTGATCAGAATGATGTGTACATATTGATCATGTGATGCTTGATTTGTGTGCTTCTACATGATCTTACACACATATGCATGTATATAAATGTATGTAAGAGAAGAGTATTGTATCTTGTGTGTTATAAAATCATCTCTTCATTAGTTAAACAAAGCATAGTAAAATAGTTTCAATAATTAATGTGTTGATGCCATTTCACTGTTACTATTCAACTTATTATCTTTTGTAACGAATAAGATGATGATGGCAAACAAGGAGAAAAAATCAATAAAGTTTTGCTTGCTAAAGTCTTTGCTCTTCATATATATATATATATTCAGATCACTGTCATAACTTGTTAATTTACGTGTTGTACTCATGACATTATCGGCTGAGGTTTTTTTTTAAAATGGAATTTTACCTAAATTGTTGTCTGGTCAGTCAACTGATAATGATCTCGTGTTCAAAGGTATAAATCACTGAATGATAATCAATACATATACTTTTTGGTACTAGGTTCTAGGAGATGGTCTTGAGTCTTTCGAGGTCCTCTGTGTTCAACCATCTACCTTAATTTGCTATTACTAACTTGCTTTATTATTTCAATTACTAATGAACTAATGGAATGGTGACTTAATAGTTAAGGCATTCGACTTTCAGTCGTCTCAGGTTAGAGCCACGCTTAACCTACTTCGGTTAGATCAATTGGCTAGTATCATTAGCTGTTACAGTTAGGGTGTTTCACACTCAGATATCCAGTGAATGTGTTAGTTTAATTTTTAAGTAGAGCAGTAGCTAAGGTGTTAAAAATCTGACTTCTAAACAATAGATCCGTACCTCTTACTCCAATCACCTTGGCTAGAACACTTGAATAATATCAGTCTAGAAAATTGTAGCTCAAATTTAAGTAGACAGAAATGTGTATATTTACTACTATTTAGTGTAGGATCCTGTTGGAAATGGGTCACAGTCTGTTTGATTGAACTATCGATTTGTACCGTATTAGTTTATTACAAATTTGTAGTTAGTGCCTCCAAAATAAATCAAAGTATTATTTTAAGAGGTATTATTTATGAGAAAAAATAATGACAAAACACAATATAACGTTTTAAATCTAATTGACTAGTGTGCAATTTCAATATACAAAATAGTTAATTATTGTATTTAAAAAAATACCCTTATTTTATATTATTATGCTCAATCCAATAAATGTTAGTGTAATAATAGTTTTTAATATTGTTTCCTACGGATCATTCGGGTTTCATCCGCATTGCGTTTTGTTGATAAATCATGTGTTGTTAGTATTCTGACTGAATATACTCATTTATTCTAAACTACATTTTCAACGGAAGAATCTTCAGTGAATCAACATAGCAACTAACAAATGAGTCCACTGTGTCTGGATTCTATTGTGTATGTACTTTGTGCAAAATATTTAACTTACAGTTAAAGCGACATGAATACTCGTAAATAAAACTGACGCTAATAAATATGTGGGTTTAAAATATACTTCAAGTTTACAATATTAATGTTGATCACTGTCCAGTAATTTTAATCTGAGATAAATGTAAATTAGGTCAGACACTTTTATACAACTTTAAAAGGTGTTATATAATGGATGAAATCCTCGACACAATGAGTAGTCCAACCTCAATACTGATATCAATAGGCAGGTCTTTGTCAAATCAGTAGGTTTTTTTTATCGATGTGTTAATGAGAACATGACTTTGTAGCAGTTGACACTTGTGGAGGCTATGGGTCGTTTACTGGTAAAAACCATTCAGCTCTCGACCTGTATGTCATAAATTTAAACTAATATTTGCGTACTTAAGTTTCGGACTATCAGGTAGCAACAGTAGTGTAGCTTCAAGCTGAGTACAGAAATCTTTACTTGAAGAATAAGTTGGCATAAGATACTTCATTCTTTCAAGTGGTTGAGAGTAGCTGTCAAAAAACTCTGGACCTAGGTCTCTGTACTAATCTGTGCTCGTTAGAATGGTGTGTCTAATTGTTTAGTCGGCTTTTCGAGAACTGCAACGGAGCCTCCAGAGGCCCTAAAGAAGCCGAAGAGTCCTAGCCAATCAGAGCATGACGGGGCTTTCTGGAATATCAACGTGGCGTGCTACTATTGGTCAGTAGCATAATGTCTTTTAGCGGATTAGCCAAAATATGATGTTGATTTAACAAATGTTAACATTTATGAATACCCGTGTTTTTCTGTACGAAAATGAACCTTTGGAGTAAAGTGTTTTTCGTTTATTTTGTGCCTTTTCTCTTGAGTTCAGGTCGCTGCGTAGTTTTAGCTTAGGAATCGAATAAAGCGTTCAAATTAACAAGACTTATCAATACTATCTTGATTAAGCTGGTACTCCATGATGTAGTTGGACTTGTGTCACTCAGTTTCACAGTCCGAAACGTTTTTATTGAATCTATTTGGGCCTCGATTTACTTATAGGATGGAGGTATATTCACAATTAATTTATTACTAATCGTGGTTCACTAGCTCTGTATATATATACCATGGAAACTTGATGCAGTAGTAGGAAGGCCTATGAAAAACAGCTAATGTCTTCAACATTTTCCATGTTGTTTACAATCCACCTACGTGTGTTGATCTGTAAATATTTATTTATTATCATTAATTATTTTAGGTTGTCGAATTATTATCCAAAGAGAAATATGCAAATGAACAACTGCGTAAATATATTGACGATTTAATTACACGAATTATTGAACGACATCCATCATTGTTGGAGATCGCAAGTGGAGGGGGTGGATCATAGATTCATGCTGTCTATGAGTGTTTGCCGGTCCATCTGTATGTATCTATTATGACCGATCATTTCAATTACGCAACTAACTAACTGATTTGCTTATTACTTGGATAAAACTATACATATACAACTTTGTAAAAGAGATATTTTCTATTTACTTATTATATATATATATATATATATATATATATATATATATATATATATATATATATATATACTTATCTATAAATTTTATTTTCAATAGACTACTAATAACACCGAAAATACATATCATCAAATGTTTTTTTTCTATCATAAACAAAGCATACTGATAACAAGTACATAACCATATATATTGTGAAGGAAGTGTTTTTATATTTCTTCGTTCATTCGATTGTGAAACTCCTTTGTCTTTCGTGTCTCTCATTTTGTTATTATTATTTTCGTTGAACTACTTGTCATGTATGTTCTCTCTTTTTTTTGAAAAATGAAATCATCATCATTATTATGTCAAGCGTAACCAGAACATAGTGACAGTTAATTGCACATATTATCATTAATATTCCTACTAATAAGCTGTTATTAGATTGTTGAATATGTTTTCACTAAGTGTGAAATGAAATCTAGTGATGCAAGCACTATAAAATTGCTTGTTCATTCTTACATTTTATGCAAGATTAACACATAAATATTATCAGGTTAATGTAAACATTCTGAGATTATTTAAAGTGTTTATGACTTTTTAAGTTTTTTTTCTCTGTACTACTACTACTACTACTACTACTACTGTGTTTCATTGTTATATGCCTTTTTGTTCAACCATCAGTACTAATGTTAATAAAATAAAGTTGGTCTCTTTCTTGGAATTATTTTTGCTCAAAAAGAAATAATTTATTTCATTCCCATGTCTTTGTTTTGCTGAAACCTAATTGATTTGAAGTAACATGATCATATTTCATTCGACCATCTATAATTTCTAGTCTTGTTTCCTGCGTGACATTTTGTGTGACGATTGTAGGAGAGTGAGAGAAGGGTGCTTCATTTCTTATGTTCATGGAATTATAGAAAATACTTTTTTTCCTTTTTTGATTTTGGGATCACCATTCATTAACATACTACTACCAATGCTATTAATACTATGCCTTTTTTCATGAAAACTTCCATTTATAGTTGAACTTATTACGATGATGAAATCATACTTAGTCCTTTGCCAATTTCACTTTTGTACTGTTCTTATTTACTTCTTGTTGGTATCGATTTTCTTACCTTCGTAGTCATACATAGCCATGGAAATGCTTCAAAAGTAATCTGTTAACTGAATCCTTGTTGTTGTTTTTTTTTAAAAAAGATATAATATATGTACACATATATCATAGTGTATTTTTGCTCTGCCTTTACCTTCCTCTTTTTATATTCATTTAATCTAACTGGGATGTTGTCTCTCGTCTGTTTCCTTGATAAATTCGATGCTTTTTTAGTTTAATTACTGACTTCTATGTTGTTTTCAATATTATTCAATTTTAAGCATACATACCTTGTAAAGAACTAGTGATTAGTTGCTTGTTTTTCATCGGTTGTCTGTTTTTTTAGATCCAATTTATTTAGGTATGTTGATGTGAACAGAAGAAGTAAGCATCAAATTAATGCTCTATAATCTTTCTAAACATTATTAAATACCTATATACATCAGATAACAACAGCTGACGGACGGATTTGTGTCACGTTCATTACCAAAAATACACATTTCCGATTATTTTGTTTTGATGAATATCAGCATCAAATCAACGTTTACTATTATTAGTAGTAATATCTGCTGTTATGCAGCATATAAACATAAGAACTACTCTATTGTGTATTATTGTTACTATTGTTATTTCTTTTACACACACATTCATCATTCCTTTGTATAGATAACTATTTGTTCGTGACGTTTTTTCATTACCGGATTTACTACTATTGTAGAGAAGATCATGTTGATCACGAGGTTGTAAACACCAGTTTAAGTTGTTTACTTTTCATCGAATTAGCAAAATACTCAATATTTTCTTTCGATCGGTCTAATATTTTTTCGTTATTAATCTTTTCCCCACCTTTGTTGACAAATGTTCTATTTTTTTTAAATAATAGATTCACATATAAACAAACAAATATATATGGTTTATTATTAAATATATGTTTAATTGTTGATTACATGGTATTTTTAGTGGAGACTGATAGTTTATGCGTTGTAGAATTAATTTTAGAATCAACCAGATTAAAGCACAAATGTTTTGGTTTTTAAAGCGAGACCCATCAACAGCCTGCACTCAACACCACAGTTCACTGTTTTACATTTATTAATCTGTGAACGAAATATGTGCACGCGATTTTAACTCGAATAGTTTAATAACACCAATCCGACTGAAAGGTCAAGTATACAAACTTCGTCCTGGTGAATTGAGTTCCACTAAAAATACACAATAAATTGTAGTTAAGTGTGTCTTATTCGTAGCACTATTTTCCCATCTGGATGGCTCATTTATTGGAAAAAGATGTTAAAATATACTAACTACTCATTGAATAGAATTTCATGAAATAATATTGAAGGTTACATAGTTTGTGTAATTAGTGTAGTAAAAGGTTGTGCAGATGGTTGGATTTCATTTAAATCATAAATCGACATACGTTACACTGCTACTAGGAACCCGAAAACACTGGATGCCCATTTCTTCGTGGTATTGGACTGAGAAGTGTGCATCCACGATCCCGCAAGTGGGAATAGAACCCATGGGCTCCGGTCCCTTGCACAAACACCCAACCTCTAGACCCACCAAGTACAATGGGTGTTGTCTCAGTGGTTTTTGTTGCCAGATCCTTCAAAAGGTGACAAAGACTACATGCACTGTTGAAAACCCTCATTAACTGAGAAAAGCTTGAAGAGATTTCATCCAATCATCCTCAAATAGAGACTTTCCAGAATTACTTAGAAGAACGAGAGATATGTCATAACTTTGAGTCGATAACTGCTTATCTTGTTACTAAATGTGTATTTCGACAGACTTAGGAAGTCAAGGTCATTCGGAGATCTATAAGTAACCCTGTTTTTCTATATATTTGAACCTTGAAATAAACCTACCATTCTTACTTCACTCCTTTTCTTTCGAGACTTAAGTGTAGGAGTAGTCTGGGGATATAGAAGGTGACTAGGAAGTCAAGATTAAGGATTTGAGTAGCAGATATATTTCTCGCATATTTTATTTTAACAATATTTACGCTAATATAAATAAGTGTTAGCAGTAACCAGCTGATCGAATTCAGTGCCAAGACAGGTTTTTCTATTAAAGAAGCTTGTTTAATGAGGCTTCATTTTTGAAATAAGGATCTGTAAAAAAAACTCTACTTTTGAACAGTTAAAAGTTACACATTCATGCTTAGTAATAGGAATAATTTCGAAAGTGTTGTTGGGTCTTTTCTTTGTTTATACGAGCATCAACTAACTGTCAAACATTTCGACTTATACTCGCTTATATCAATAGATATGAAGTTAACTAGGAAAACGTCTAAATTTCGGACTAAGGGAATATCAAGAAAATTTTTGGAAACGCTGCATAAGTGTTTTTTATCAATCAATAGACATACAAAACCCATTTCAATCCGTTAGTCATTAAGGATAGATAATAATTAGATTAGAGTAAGGGAGAAGAAATTCAAAATATATGTATAAACTACATCAGTACGATTATGGATAACAGCTAATTTAACTCTATTTTTACAGAACAGTGTGTTAGTTCATTATGAAGAAATCCTAATATCTTACTTCTTTAAAGAATGTTGTTGAGGTAAGCAATAAAAGTTCTATGACTAAATCATTCAGATGAGAGAATACATTTCCAAAAATTACTCATTCATTTGCACATTTTTTTAAAACTCCAGTTTTATTTGCAAATAATTAGTAAACAAATATTTACATAATCTAACATTTGGTTCTTTGATCAATTACAAATAGGGTTTCGGTGTTTTATATATTGATTGTATCATTGTATCATAGAAATAGTTTCTTATCATCTCTGTGTAGCACTGATATCTATTGTAAGTTTTCTCATTTAGAAATTGTGGTCTTGGATATTTTTGACAAACTTTCAAAATCAGAATGATATTAGACTTTTGATTTTTTTAGAAATTTTGTCAGCGGAAAGCTGATCATTCAAATCTATAGAAGTTAGTTATTACAATCAGCAACTATTTCATATACCCCTGAAGTTTCTTATGATCCTCATGCAAAATGTCCCATTTTCTGTTATCTCCGGGTGGGTATTTGTAATTAGGAAAACCATTAATTTTGAAAAGATGAGCAGCAGCCCTAATATCTCAGTTTGTGTATTTATTAATGATGTATTGCAACTTTCTTGTTTTTCATTTAGTTTTGAAAGTACTATTCTCAAAGAAATAGTAACTTTTACATAATCGGTTAATAGTTGTACAACTTACAATTCTCATCGATACGAGTTATTATATCATGATGCTTGAAAACTGTTTACCAGGGTGTGGTCACTAGAAATTTGTATTTTTCCTAAGCTAATATTTTTAGTCAATCAATGTATTGTTAGCAACGCAATATTCGTTAACCAAATTAAATTAAGTCAGATGAGTTCAAGAAGGGTTATCTTTTGAAACTAGCTACTTTGAATATATATAAAAATGGTTAGGGATTTGATTTTGTGTTATATCCCGACAAGAATAATGAATGGTAACTTTTGGAATCTATTGATGGACCAATACTAACGTATATTTTTATTGTATAATTATTAAGTAACTAAACTATGGATATTCATATTCCTCTTATTATAAGCTTTATTTTGGCCCATAAACTATTATTATACGTTTTACCATTCTTGAGTTATACCCAGTATATTAATTACTATCTCCCTCATTCACAGCCACAGCTGGCTAATTTTTGTACAAATGTTGTTTCATATTTTATTGGTACGTTGTGGTCTGTTCGATCGGTATATAAACTCAGTGTGTTTGAAATATAATGATTCATACTGCAGAGGCTGAGACTGGTGTTCTGGACTTAACTGGCTGGGCTAGGCGGAAAGCAGGACCAATCAGGACTCTAGGCTACTCGCACGTGTTTTACGCGTCCTTCGTCCGGTCGATAAGTTACTGCCCTCTTATCGGC